TATTCTCAGATTGCTTGATTTAATTACTTCTGCCTTGTAACTAAAAGGTGCCATGCATCAAACCATTGATTATAAAGTGCAACTTCACTAAAAACCATAATTCATAAATATCCTGCTTCTAATCTAAAAGCCTATACCATGAGATTACATAGGCAAATGCTCAAAAATACAGATTTCTAAAAAAAAAAAACTCAATACCATGAAAAAATATATATTTTAATCCACACAAAAAAATTCTTAGAAAGATTTGTTTTTATTGAAATTACACAAAAAATATACTTCTTTCTTATCACTCCTAAATGATGAAAATATTTTGTCATCAAAAGTACTGTATGATTCAACAACTTTAAAATTCCACAATTTTTTTTTACCTTTTCATAGCTTCATATAAATCATTTGCAATTCACACTGCATTCAAAATTACCTTATAGAAGTAAGGGCAAATTTGATCAGCAGTAAAGGAAGCAATGTACTAAAATGTTTCAAACAATGTCTGCTTTAGCTATCTGTACTATCTACCCATTGATGACATCTTTATGCTAATGAGAGGTTTTCTCCATCCTTGAATTTTGCTATGAATGCAATGTCAATAATATTAATCCCACTTTTCAATATACAATAAATAATATTCCTAATCTAATAATTACAATTAACTAGCTCTGGATCCCTGGATTTTTTTTTTTCTAATTTTGTTGCACAGCATACTGCATGCCTTTACACAAGTAGAAGAAAGAATTCTGTGGCAAAATTGTGATGTTACCAAGTCACTCTCCCAACACCATCATGGATGGAGTAATCACCAATGGTAATCTATCATAACTGTTGATTTGGTATTAACCCTGTAGTGCCGGTGCCAGAAATTTATGTGTCACTCATTCCGGTGACTTCTGGCGGCATTCTAGTCTTTGGCCGGGGAGTTTGCTACATACAGCAGAACTTCCTGCTTGACTCACTCTAGCAAGTCATGACGTCTATGCCATACCCAATGAGTTGTTTTTTCATGACAGATATAGCTGTGCTAGGCTACAAGAGGTTAAAAAAGGAAGAAAAAACCCAAGGCCATGATAGATTAAAGCCAGTATTTATCCTCATGATGATGTGGTGTATACAATGCCTGTCTCAGGTTGAACACCGAAGTGGGAGGTCTGTATGTCTGCTCTATAGAGTTGATCTACATCTGCATCTTCTTAGGAAATAAATCCACCAAATTCTAAAATCCAATGCCCTTTTTTCCATCACAATGCCTTCTTGTGCCATGTGCTTCAGAGCTAAATGCAATAATCTTACTTTACCATGCAACAGATCAAATGCTAAAGGAATACTGGCATTGTTGGTTTCCTTTCTTGAAGCCTGTAAATGTTCAGAGCATTTGCGTATCTGCCCCTTTGGCGCACAGGTAATCACCAATGTTAGTACATGATTCATGATAGAAAGATATATTGGCAGACATTTAGTACATTGCTTGTACTACCGTTCCAAAATCTCCATTGGACAATGAAGTCTTTATCAGTAGAACTGGAAAGCATCATGAATAATTTCCTACATCAGAAAAATATTAATCAAGCAATGCAATGACATTTTTAAACAAATAACATAATCCAAATGCAAGTCAAAGTTATTTGAAAACACATACACTGACTTGTAAGTCTTATGTCACTAGTTGAAAACATGACAAGAGTTAAGTTATCCTGTTAGAGAAAGATAGCCTTTTTACCTATGGATGACAGTATGGATAATCACACAATGTAAATCCATCACTGAATCACCTCTACGACCTTTACTCTCTCATCTAAACCCCTGAACCCCATCAACCATAATAGAATGAGACTAGCAACAGCATACTATGATCATAGAAAAGTTTATCTTAACAGCATAAAGTTTTTTTTTAACTGCATACTATGATCACAGAGAAGCATTTTTTCTTTTAAGTCAAGAAGTTCATCTCAAAGATTATAACATTCTAATGTCCTGTTCCCTCTGATCCTCCTCCCGATTCCTACCGTCTGGCTGCTGCATGCCCGGAGTCAGCGCTCGCAGGAAATCATCGGGAGTCATGTATATCTCTGTCCTTTCACTGCTGCGACTCCTTTGAATCAACTTGCAAGTAGCAAAGTAGCGGAAAATTTTATCCGGGGTCGAATACGCCCGAATTCTGTTCTCGTACTCTATGATCTACGGCAAGAGAAAGAAAACGGGTCTAGAGCGTCTACCTAGTTTTATTTTCTCACACTCTCAGAGGACGGCTGAAATGCATGCTACGATGAACAGCATGCACAGTAAATAATAATAATAATAATAATAATAACAATAATAAGAACATATTTCTAATAATAATGAAAATCTAAAGTAAATAAAATGTACAAAACCAATCATAACAAAAAAAATCTGCTGGAATCAAGTACAGAATACATAACCTTCTAAAGAGAAAATCAAAAGTTGCAAACACAAAACAGAGTCTCTGCAATGCAATGGCAAATGACACAGTATAAAAAGTAAACAGGAAATGTAATACCTCAATAACCTCATCACAAGGAATAGAATGAAAGAGCTAAGACACAAGCACTTTGTCCGCCACGCTGATGACTGCATCACAGAAAACACTCATCATATAAATCAGTAAACAGAACCCAGCAGAGAGGGTAGCTTAAAAAAAACAAAAACAAAATAATAATAATAAAAAAAAATAACAATACATTTGTTATGAAAATGAACCTTTCCACTTACTCAGTTCAATAACCTCAATGAAATAAGGGACAAATTTCATCTCCAAATTGAAGAAGTTCCCGGAAAAAAAAACAGAACGTAAAAAATGAGGGGAAAAAAAAGAAAAAGAAAAAAACAAAAAAGGTGGAGGGAAGTGCAATTGTTAAGCAACTGATCATTGGATCTACAGTGAAGCAAAAGCAAAAAAGAAAATATTTACTATGCAATAGATAGTTTTTGTCAATTCCACCCCTTTCCTTAATATACACAACCAAATACTATGCAACTGCAAGAATTGCAGAGTTTGCTAAACCAGACTGAGGACTAAAGCCTCCCACCAACATTATCATCAAAGAAGACATAGCTACAGTTGATTCATAGCTAATGTCCTTTACTCCTTCACTCAGAACAGTTTCTCTAGCAAGTAAATAGATTATGTAAATCTACCTTTTCTATTCTGAATAAATAATTTACTTAATCAAAGAGTATTATTTCTTTCAAATCATTTAGTTTCCTCTCTAAAGCAGTTCAGTACAGTATCCTCTCCAAACACTAATACCATCAAAGCAAAATTCCTAAGCAAAGATATAATGGCAATGCCCAGACAAGGAACAGAGTCCACCATGAGGAGAGATTATAGACCCTAATAGAAAAATACTCAGAACAATACAGACAAGAGAGAAATCTAGCCCAGTACAAGGAGAGGAACCTTTATAAAGAAAATCAGTTAGAACTTGGTAAATACCGACTTAGAATTTGCAACTGCGAGCTTCTCACTTCTGAAAGCGCAGTGTACAGCAAGCTACAATTTTATGGTAAAATCTAGGCAGACATTTGTGACCAAAATGAGCCTACTTTGAAAAAAAAAGAAGGTAAAATGCCAAAAATCAGAATAAGTCCATCGCTATCAAGTGCACAATATGACTGCATGTAACTCAAGATGTCTCAATTAGCAATATGAGATGTAATGTTCTTGTCCATGCTGTAAGATATAATCTTCTCATGAAATTTCTTTGTAACCACATCATATGCTTGAGCATTCTTTATGATGCATATCAGCTGATTCTGGTTTATTGTTCATTACTAAGAGTAAACTCTTACTGAAACAAGCTACAATTTAGCATTGTGTTTAATTACTTTAAAATCTGAAAGCCATTCAGAATAAACTACTCCTAAACTGGAATATAGTTTCATTTAGTATTAAAACGAGATGTAAATATAAAACAACAGTTCCTGAACAGGTATACGTTTCATCCTGTGTTTCTTTCATCAGGAGAAACATACTACTTTCCACTAAATGAAACAAAGCAGGTATAGCTATTGCCCTATATAAAATACCATCCACATATGCAATTCACACAAAAGTTAACTACTTATCTTGAGTGTAAATGAGGTCTGGTTTATTTGTGTTAGTTCAGGTTAGGTCCAGATTATCTTGTTAGGTCAGGTCAAGTCAGGTCAGTTTGAAGATGGTTCCACACCTCTCCCTGGCTTTCTTAGAAAGAAATGCTCAAAAGGACAATAGCAAACTAGAAATGGAATATGGGCTTATCTCAATACCCAGAGGTCCTTTGTAAAAGCAGTCAATTATGCTTCAATTTCTAATCATATGCTCTTTGTAATCATGTAACTTTATGAGCCAAACAGTATTACAAAATTTGTTTTTGTAACAAAGCTTATATTTCTCTTATGAGATTATCTTTCACAATAGAATCAAAGCTGTGTATTTTATTTCTTAACCCATACGATCAGGATGACATGACCATCACATCATGAAATATTTGGCATGAGGATTGAGTGAAGCGAGCATGCCGTCATGGGGAAATCGGGTTGTGGGCCGGGGTGGCGCGAACTTGCCATCACAAGCAGTAGACTCATTTGGCACTTAGAAAGGGGATGTTGCATTACTCCTATCAATAAATGAACATGGAAAGTAGTGTCCATAACCCATGACTGGAGGAGTGCCAGCTCCAGGGAAGACACCACTTCTATGCTCAACATCATATTCCTGGCCGCTGCAGTGGAGTTGTATTACAAAAGATTGAATATTATGAAAAAAAAATATAAAAAAATACACAAATAACAAAATGTTACTTTTTGTTATAATTCTCGCACTGAGTTATGGGAATACCTAGAGAGATGATCTGGAGTCTGTGCAAGGAAAACAGTCTATTACCATCTGGATAAAGCAAATCAAATGATAAATACAGACAACAGCAAAAAGGCTAAAAACGCTTTTGCATAAAAAGAGAAAATAACATTGCAAAGGGGAGGCACTGAGTCTTGTCACGGCACAC